AAGGGGCCGGTTCCCGGGAGGAGATCACCAGGAAACCAGCCGGGCCCCCAGCCAGCGGCTCCCCTCCCAACCCAGCTGGCGCCCGCTCTACAGCTCCTTGCAGCCCTGGGGAGGGTTGGGGGTGGCTGGGTAGGGGGTGCAGGGCCCTCAGGACCGCCCTTCCACCTCCCAGGAGAGGGTGGGGGTTGCTCTGGGTGTGCGGAAGCAGGCTCCTAGCCCAGCGGCTGCCCTGCCCGATAAGCATCTCTCCCCTCCCCCCACTATGGGCATCCACGTGCTTCACATTCTTGGACGTCTGGGAGCAGGCGGAGGCGTGAGCGGGGAGACTGGTGGGGGACAGATGGGCAGCCACATTCTGTGCACCCCTTGTCCTTTAGTGCACCGAAATGGGGGCCCTGGGGACCACACGAGGCCTCTAGGCCCTGCAGGACCCAGGAGTTCTCCACAGCCAGCATGCACTCCCTGGCCACCTGTGCCAGGAGTGAAAGGTGGAGTGCACAATTCTCCAAGAGTGCATTCCGGGGTGGGAGGCGTTCCAGTCACCAGACGACCGTCCAAGGCAGTGACCACCCCGACTCCAGGCCCTCCCTATGCTTCCCCACACCCCCATGACCCTCGATCCGACAGCCTTGGGACCTGAAACCCACAGGCATATACACACGCCTACACGGGGACCCAGGGAGCTGCAAGCTCAGGCCAGCAGCCCTACCCCAGCCAGACTCCCAGGTCTGTGGTTAGGGACAGCAAGGTGCCCAAACACGCAGCCTGTGATCCTCCTCCCTCCAGTTCTGGGACAGGATGGGCCGAGCTGTCCCCACAACCTCGGGAGAAGCCAAGGGCTGCAACCCAAGGTCTCAGACCCAGCTTCCATGTCTGCCCCAATTATCCCACTGGGTGGACCCCCTACTGGGTAAACAGGGAGGGTCCTAGTGTAACCCACTAGCCTCTCCCTTTTCCAAAGTCAAGGGCCGCTGTTATTTGCAGCTCCAGAGGTAAAGGTCAGGGGGCAGGACAATAGGAGAGGTGGAGGTGGCTCTGGGAAGACAGAAGTGGCCTTCTACCTTCTCCAGCCTGCCAGCTCCCGGTGACCACTCCACCACTCCACCCTGGCAAGCATGGAGGCAGCAGGTCTGGAAGAAACTCCAGGGAAGGGCGGGTAGGGAACGA